GTAAATATCTCAGGCTCCAAACAGCACCTCCAGCATCCGTGGGGATGCCAGAAACACAACTGGTACCTTCAGCAGGGTACCCAGCTCCCAGTTCCAGCTGCAGGGAGCCACAGGTCACCAACAGAACAGCCCCGGCTTCACACAAAGGTGGTTTTGCTGGAACAAAAGCAAAGGCCACACAAATAGGTTGATTTTTTTTTTCTCTTTTTTCCTAAGATATGACTAAACTCTATGAGCAGGTAGTGCCTGGGCATCCTACAAGCATCCTGCAAGCAGTGCTTTCAACATGAAAGAACAAAAGGCTGTGGTGGGGAGGAGAATGGTGGGAAACCTTGCAGGCTCTCGAGATTCATTTGAGACCTGGTGTTTGCAGCACAGGCTGTATTTCATCTTTTCATAAGTAACTCTTACCAGGAAACATTACAAAAAAGGGGGCATTTCAAGGCAGAAAAGTTGGTTGCCAAACGTCATTTTATTTTATTTTTTAAACCTTTTGTTAGCAACTCTTCTGGGGAGCAAATCCAGCAGAGGCAATACAGTGCAGCGTGCACTCCTAAATTAGTTTCCAGGCACTTGGGATGCTTTATTATTCATTTCCTCCAAATATTAGGTAATGCCTTTCACCCCTTTCAAAGTCTGTACGAGGGGTCTTTGATGCATTGTGGGACTTGAAAGTTTCAGGTCTAAAGAAGCATTTCTTTTAAGTCCTCCCTTTTATCAAGCATATTCTGTTCTGTTCGCTATAATGCACACAATGGCATGAGAGTCTTGACCTGCTTCATGTCTGATGAGTTGAAATCTCAGATGCATAGGATAAAACAGCCATTCCCAGCAATACAGCTTAAACACTTAGGGCTCTATTCAGGCAAATATTACCCAGGGGTCTGCCACGCCACTGAAAAGCTGCAGAAATTGGCTCGGCAGACGGCTGACCAATTCAGCAGTGAGGAATGACCCCGCCACATTAACTCCCCTTTTCATTTCACCCTGGGCGAGCCGGGGTCTGGAGGTAAGCGCAGCAGAAGGCGAGAGCCGGCTGAAGCCAGATTCATTTTCTTTATATAAAGTATTTTTTGTGTGCGTGTGTGACCATGAATGCCATTATGCGGATCTGCAAAAGAAGGGAAGTAATGACATTAGGGCACAGGCGCGGGAATCAGGGAGGTTTTTGTCTTACAGTGACACCGGAGCGCTGTCACGTCTTCTGGACAATTTCAGCAAGAATTTGTAGGCTTTTAGAGCGCTGCAAATGTCTTAGGAAAGCAGGTCTCTGCCACTGATGAAGACACGTGGACTTTGCTGGGTCACTTTACACCATCCAGCATCAGCCTCCTCCGTGTGTTAATCAGAATTAATACCTCTTGTTCCATAGTAATTTATCCTGTTCCATAATAATTTACCCTGTTTATAGGTTTTTTTTCACCCTGTTTTTTTCCTCTTTATACTGCAAGCTCACTTAAGAGATGGCTCCTGTCCAACAATACGCTGGACTCAGGGCAGGGATGCAAGGTGAAACTTACTGCAAAAGCAAACATATTTCGGTACAAAATACCATGTTTTTGTCCTTTAGACAATCGCACCAACATGTTTTTACAAAAGTACCAGGTGGCTATTTTAGGATATTAATCTCCTCTTATCAATCTCCCCTTGACAGGTTAGAACTAGGAAAAAAAACTTAAAGGGCAATCTGGAAATGCAGGGGTAAAATTTAATGTACAAGCTCGAGAGCTCCTAAATGGGCTGGAGCTGCTGGAATTTGCCTTGCATTTTTTACACCCTAAGAGCAAAAGATGCCTCTAGAACAAGCCAGAAAACAAGTGTTCAGACTACATGAAAAGA